ACCTATTACACATCCACGTTATGCAAATGTTGATATATGGAAGCCAGCATTTGCGGTTCATAATAAAACTTTTGCACTAACCTGAATTTTGTGGTGAAAGCTAAATTCTATCAATTCCACACTGGGGCATCTATCTTAGCCTAGTCATGCAAGGTAAAGGTTAGGTGTTGATCAAGTCGCGTAAGATATAAATATATTCTAATCCTCGCATGATAACGGTTAGATTATAATCTAATTAAACAGAATGAAGGAAAAATTCTTATTAAGGTCACAAAAATAAAAGCTATATTAGGGTAGGAGGCCTGACAGCTGAGTGGACAGCGCTTTGGATTCGTAGTCCTGAGGTTCCGGGTTCGATCCCCGGTGGAGGCGGAGACAACTGGGCAGAGTTTCTTTCACCCTGATGCACCTGTTACCTAGCAGTAAATAGGTACCTGGGAGTTAGACAGCTGCTACGGGCTGCTTCCTGGGGGTGTGTTAACAAAAAGGAGGCCTGGTCGAGGACCGGGCCGCGGGGACGCTAAGCCAAACTCAAGCCTAAACTAAGCCATCTCAAGATAACCTCAAGATAAGATAGATCCCAAGTTTGGTCATCAAGGATGAAATGTAGATCAAAACTATTTATAGAAAATAAAATATCGCATTATCTAGTCAGAGTGGAAATGTCGTGGTTGCGTGTTCCACTTCCCACTGCTGGGACACTTACTTTCTTCACTGGCTTAAGGTAGTGTCCGTTGTCCATATTCACAACAACTTTTAGAAAACAAATCCACCGCTTCCTAAGTTCACAGCTAGTTAGTTCACAGTTAATTAGGAAGATACACCTTATTTCTCCATCGGCCTGCCCTAGTGACTTGTAAGTACATAAAATATAAAACATAATTATTTTTTCGGACACAGGAAGCCTGTGAATATATACAATTTAGAACTGCCACCCATGAGCACCCAACTGCTCACGCAACTGCATCATTTAGAGCTGTATCAGTAGTTCGACCTTGGGGACTACTACTAGAACTACTCACCTCCCTAGGATGCAACCCAACAACATTTAATTAAACTTCCGGTTACCTATTTAATGGTTGGTAAACAGGGGCATTAGATAAAATGAAATGTGCCCAATCATTTCTGTTCTGCCCGGGATACCTGATTGTGAATCGAGAGCGAAACCAGCTGTCAAGTGCGTTACTAACACTGCGGTATTGTTGATTCATTGTTTTATCAAAGTTTTCTGCTCAGCTTTGTCAGAAGGTTTTAACAGCAGAATCTGGACTTACATTACGACTGGAAGCTCGTAAGTTCTTTTTGTCAAGCTGGCCCAGCAGCGTAATGGGTGCAGCCACTTCTCTCTCGAGTTCCCAGTGTCCTAACTGTTGTACTAAATTGCCCGAACCTAACCTACACGAGGACCCACGAACAGAAAACGGGACATCACGTCAATTTCGTGTGCCGCTATCAATTTTAATACATCAGTTTTTGACTAGGAAAGTTATACGTCAAAATGCGATGTACTATTCAGGAAAACTTATTGCCATAGTCCAGCGGCGTAAGAGATGTGCCCAACAGCTTGGTGGAAGAGCCCAAAGCTAGTCACGCAGAGGCTGCTAGTTCCTAATCTAATGCAGAAAAAACTGCTACGTCCAGCAACACTAGATAAAGGTTAACGCCTAACCAGTGGAGCAGAGCTGCCGGACCTTGCGGGAGCACCGCTCCGCACCTCAGCAAGTGGGTGATGGAATGGGGGGAAGTGAGAGAGGATGAGGGGAAAAAATAGAGATAATGGCTTGTGGGTGATGGTTCAACGTAGCAGGAAAATATTAGTATTAAAACACTAATAAGTTAATAATGTAATAATAATTCTTCGTTTTTTAAAGATTCAAAAATATTTAAATGTTTATATATTTAAAAAGTAAACAGGATGAATTGTAGTGGTAGTAATGTGTGGCCATAATACACGTGAACACTTCCTGTCCATTTATGCCAGGCAAACGGTACGAGACAAGTAACCAACCTACCGCTTTGGATACCAATACTTAGCGATAATGTTCATGGCTTTAGCAGTAGTTCATTAAACAGGTGTTCTTAATTCATACAATGGTATATTTTAGTATTAAATACTAGGAAAGTGACCCTTGTGGAAACTATTGTGAAACTTCTCACTGTTTGTATTTTGTGAGAACTAAGTGTTTTAACTTAAAATGACAAATACATGATTTATTTTTTTCTTTATTTGTTTGATAGTTATATTTTATGATAATTAGTGAGTACAAACATGAAATACATAATCGTGTGTCATATTGAAACAGGATAGGAAATGAGAGGCTTTTGTCAGGACCAGCAGAGCTCCGGCACCTACAACATTGGCACTGCACACTGCTCCTAACCCAATCATGCACGGTGAAGATCTTAGTTCATTCGTGCAGAGAGAAGTGTAGAGCCTAATTCAGCCATGCAGAGTGAAGTATAGTCTAATTCAGTCATGCAAGGTGAAGAATAAGGCCTAATTCAATCATGCGGGGTAAAGCATAAGGCCTAATTCAGTCACGCACAGTGAAGTATAAAGCCTAATTCAGTTATGTAAAATACAAGAACCTAATTCAGTTACACACAGGAAAGTAGAGCCAAATTCAGTCACACAGAGTACAGAGCCTTATTCAGTCATGCAGTGCAGCATAAAACCTAATTCAGGCATGCAAAGTATAGAGCTTCATTCAATCACGAAGTGGCCAAACGCGCCACATCAAACCCACAAGTTGACATTGAATGTGTTTTAACAAAAACAAATAAGAAACAAAATTAAAAATATTCAGACACAATCAGTAGTCGCGAGGAGAGGTATACTGTATGAGAGAAGCCAAACCATGCAACACTACATGTATGTGAGTCAAAACACCCATTTTACTTATGGTAAAAGGAGAAATGCTTGGAGTGACTACACACGCGCGGCTCAGACTTGGGTACAAATATTGCTGGGCATATGGAATAGGTGTTAATAATAAGGAAATGAAGTGTAAACTATGTCGTAAATTCAGATCTGACACCCCTCACCCATTATGTTCTTGATTGTCCCGTTGATTAACGTATATAGAAATACCGAGTTAAAGACTGTTCCTGAACAAATTTTATTTATTTTAATTTTTATTTCTTTACATATGCAAGAACGCTTACATTCTTGTATAGCCACTAGCACGCATAGCATTAGCCTGGATGTATCACAATGGCAAGATTGATGATATTCTGGAGAGATATAAGAATTTTGCACGAAGACTAACTTTGTTGAATTGTCTGAATGTCTATTGCAAATTGTCTGTGTACCTAGTCATAAAAGTATTAATGTGCGCGTCTGGTTGCGTACTGCATGTGTAAAGGAAGAAATGTGTATGTCATACGTATATAAATGTCAAATCATAATTAACAATACAGTCTAATTCTGTCGTGTAGCGAAGAATACACCCTAATTCTGTTGTTTAGTGAAGAATACAGCCTAATTCTGTTTAGTGAAGAATACAGCCTAATTCTGTTTAGTGAAGAATACAGCCTAATTCTGTTGTTTAGTGAAGAATACAGCCTAATTCTGTTGTTTAGTGAAGAATACAGCCTAATTCTGTTGTTTAGTGAAGAATACAGCCTAATTCTGTTGTTTAGTGAAGAATACAGCCTAATTCTGTTGTTTAGTGAAGAATACAGCCTAATTCTGTTGTTTAGTGAAGAATACAGCCTAATTCTGTTGTTTAGTGAAAAATACAGCCTAATTCTGTTGTTTAGTGAAGAATACAGCCTAATTCTGTTGTTTAGTGAAGAATACAGCCTAATTCTGTTGTTTAGTGAAGAATACAGCCTAATTCTGTTGTTTAGTGAAGAATACAGCCTAATTCTGTCGTTAGAACACAGCCTAATTCTGTCGTGTAGTGAAGAATACAGCCTAATTCTGTCGTGTAGTGAAGAATATGGCCTAATTCTGTCGTGTAGTGAAGAATACAGCCTAATTCTGTCGTGTAGTGAAGAATACAGCCTAATTCTGTCGTGTAGTGAAGAATACAGCCTAATTCTGTCGTGTAGTGAAGAATATGGCCTAATTCTGTCGTGTAGTGAAGAATACAGCCTAATTCTGTTGTTTAGTGAAGAATACAGCCTAATTCTGTTGTTTAGTGAAGAATACAGCCTAATTCTGTTGTTTAGTGAAGAATACAGCCTAATTCTGTTGTTTAGTGAAGAATACAGCCTAATTCTGTTGTTTAGTGAAGAATACAGCCTAATTCTGTTGTTTAGTGAAGAATACAGCCTAATTCTGTTGTTTAGTGAAGAATACAGCCTAATTCTGTCGTTAGAACACAGCCTAATTCTGTCGTGTAGTGAAGAATACAGCCTAATTCTGTCGTGTAGTGAAGAATACAGCCTAATTCTGTCGTGTAGTGAAGAATACAGCCTAATTCTGTCGTGTAGTGAAGAATATGGCCTAATTCTGTCGTGTAGTGAAGAATACAGCCTAATTCTGTCGTGTAGTGAAGAATACAGCCTAATTCTGTCGTGTAGTGAAGAATATAGTCTAATTCAGTCACGCATAGTGAAGTATAAAACCTAATTCAGTCACACATGGTTATATCCTAATGCAATCACGTAGTTGGGGATCAGATTCTATCCGTCACGTAGGGATCGATGCTGTTAGATCCTAACTCAGTTATGCAGGGTGATAACTTGATCCTTCTTGAAATACCCACCAGATCCTCCCATGGTGATTCGTTTTATATATTTTCCTAAAAAAATTGGTTCTTTGAAAGAGAAGCTTGTGGTAGTGTTTCTTGATCCCCAGGCAAGTTCAGGTCAAATCGTGAGAACGGAACTCGTATTTAATGTTATCAATATACTTGCATTTTAAGAGCTGATTTAGCCAAGTTCCCAGATTACAAATTCTGTACTAAAGCAAACAAGCAATAAACTAATACAAACAGAAGGGATACGTGAACATAAAGAGGCTAAAACAGTGATACTTAGGAGGCACTTACCGTCCTGTGGGAGGAGTCTGGAAGGATGACGGTCACAGTGAAGGAGCGAGAGCGTCGCAGGTTAGGAAGTCGAGCTCTCAAAGAGCCTCGGGTGTTGTCAGCCCTCGTAGTCACTGTCCCAGCTAAGAGGGATAGTCGGCGGGAAAGTCGCCGTCCTATTCCTTCACCATCCCCCTCCCCTCGAAGTATGCCCACTTGAAGGAGATCCTTCATGGAGGCCGACAGGTGGCATCGAAGGCCAATACCACCACTTTTGCCTTCGGCAGCCATATCTGCGGCGGCTGCCCCTGTGGTGGAGACGTCGCGCGTCGAGCCGGACAACCTGCGACGGATGCCATTGCCCAAGCGGGCGAGGCGAGATATGCCCTCACCAGGAATCTCTCGAGCAGACTCTGACATTCTGCGTCGAAAACCACGAATTCTCCTGATCTCCTCCAAAGGGGGGTCGGGCTCTGGGTGGATCTCCATCCCCTCCTCCACTTGAGAGCTCATGGTCATGTTTTCCTGCACCTCCATGTGGATGTAGTCAAGTACACTCACTGGAGGATGGCATACTCTCCTCCAAATAAAAGGGACTTTTTAAATATAGTTTCAGGTTATAATCATGATTGGTGAACGATTTACGTCCTAAAGTCTTATCATTGTCGCAATAATTGTTAAATACCCACTAGCACATAATCATCTTGTTTCTCATGTCGCATATTTCCATTCAGCTGTTTAATTCCAAAGGAGATAGATCTAAAACCACTATAGCTAACACTCACTAATAAACTTAAAGCTTACATAAAAACACTTAATTTACGGACACGTGAATAACAGAGTTAGTGGCCATGAGTTGTGCTGTGTCCAGTGCCAGCCAGCAAGGTGGCGGAATCCAAGGTGTTCGCTGCCTGCCTCAACAGGAGCGACTCGCGTGCACCCACAAGGAACGCTCTACCATGACTGGCTCCTCAGTCCTCACTCCCTGGCCTCGCGCTCGCTTGATTCATACTTTATAGTTGTTCCAGCATTAAACATATTTAAGTTATTTCATGCATTGTCGCTGTGTCTCTATTTAGGAAAAACAATTCTAATTAATCTAATATTCTGGAAGGTTTCCTTCCATAAATGTCAATGCAGCATAAAACTTTCCCCTGAAAGTCGGCAACTGTGTTTACTGTTGCCACTTCCTCATCAGCTGATTGGTGTTGGGCTTAAAAGCCTATCAACTTCGAGAGGTACATAAAGGCCACGATAATTGCATACTGATTACGGGCTATTCATGCCCGTGCCACCTCTTATGTGGCTTAATCTTCATCAATCAAATCTGCATACTGACCACCATTGTTGTTGTTTTAGATTCAGATACTCAGAACAAAATTTCCATGTAGCACGGGCTATAGTGAGCCCGTAAACTGACAACTAGTAAGCATTCTTTAGCCCTGAACTTTGTTCAGAACTAATGTAAACTCTCCGTTTATATACACAGAATTACAGTGTACCTCTCGATCATCGGTACATACTGCATTAGAGGCCACAGAACTGAGCCTCGAAAAGGCTCCACCATGGATTGTTTAGTTTATTTAGAGGTTACATATTCATTTTTTATGTTATTACTTTGCGGAGTAAATGGCGTCTGGTAAAAACTGTTTACTCAGGATCTTCATTTTTATTTGCTCATATACGCTTGAAGTGCATCGTCAACATAGCCTGGACCGTTACTAGCACACAAATTATATTAGGCATAAACTGGTACTGCAATTATTACTGATTTTTGCTAACTTTTAAGTAGTTTAATTAAATTATTAATCATTACAATTAATTTTTTTTACAAAAACTTTACAAATATTCTCTCTAGCCTAGCCTTTCCGTCTCGTGCCTCTCTCCCAATCTTTCCCCCTGTCATCTCTTTCCTATTCTTCATCATATTCCCTATTATTCACCAACTTTCCTACCTTCTCTACTGTTTACCACTTTCCCCTCTTCCCTTTACCCATGTTCACTAAATACTGTCTAAATAAAAATTCAAGGGTTTTAACAGTCGAGCCTAATACACTCTGGCCTGTGTGCGGGTAATGGTGTTCACACCCTTACACACACACACACACACACACACACACACACACACACACACACACACACACACACACACACACACACACACATTATATTATACTGTATTCCTACATTATATTATAAGCAGGAAGTTGAAAAATTAACTCTCCAAAGTATGGTTATATTCTCTTATGGTGAGGTTGTTAGATGACATATGGGTAAATGACTTTACATGGGGGGATATTAATAAGGTATTAAAGTATAAACATAGAGTGTGACATGTTGCCTGCTTATGTTCCTCTGGCTGCTGGTGGGGGAAGGTTGGAGGCAGTGGGTGAGTGTACCATACTACAAAGTTTACTTTGAAACTTCATGTGTTACCGAGATCTACTCGATGTCTGCACGCCGAAAACTGTGCTAATAGACAAAATTCTCTCACTTGTGGTAGATAATTTTAACTCTGCTCTCATATTAATTATACTCGTGGACTTTGGAGCCCCAAGGATGAGACGCATAGCTTCATTTTGCAAGGTTTCAAGAGATTTCAGTTCTTTGTCAGTATACAGTGTGAGATGTAGAGCATTGTAGTCAATCACAGAGCGTATAAATGATACATAAAACATTCTAGCAAGCCTCACGTTAATTCCATGATTGACACCAAGGACCCGCAAGGGCTTTAAAGAATTCTGACAAAGAAAGGGATCTAGGGGGTGGTTTTAGATAGAAAACTGTCACCTGAGGACCACATTAAGAACATTGTGCGAGGAGCCTATGCTACACTTTCTAACCTCAGAATTGCTTTTAAATACGTGGATGGAGAAATACTAAAGAAATTGTTCAAGCCTTTTATTAGACCAAAGCTGGAATATGCAGCGGTTGTATGGTGCCCATATCTTAAGCAGCACATCAACAAACTGGAAAAGGTGCAACGACATTCCACTAAGTGGCTCCCAGAACTGAAGGACAAGAGCTACGAGGAGAGGTTAGAGGCATTAAATATGCAAAAACTAGAAGATAGAAGAAAAAGAGGCGATATGATCACTACGTTTAAAATAGTAACAGGAATCGATAAAATTGATAGGGAAGAATTCCTGAGACCCGGAACTTCAAGAACAAGAGGTCATAGATTTAAACTAACGAAACAAAGCTGCCGGAGAAATATACGAAAATTCACTTTTGTAAACAGAGTGGTAGACGGTTGGAACAAGTTAAGTGAAAAGGTGGTGGAGGCCAAAACCGTCAGTTATTTCAAAGCATTATATGACAAAGAGTGCTGGGGAGACGGGACACCACGAGCGTAGCTCTCATCCTGTAACTTCACTTAGGTAATTACACAGAGGCGCCCAAAAAAAAAAAAGGTCTGGTAGCCGAGTGGACAGCATGCAGGACTCGTAATTCTGTGGCCCGGGTTCGATTCCCGGACCAGGCAGAAACAAATGGGCAAAGTTTCTTTCACCCTGAATGCCCCTGTTACCTAGCAGTAAATAGGTACCTGGGTGTTAGACAGCTGTTACGGACCTGCTTACTTGGGGGAGAGGGTTAAAACAAAAATAGTAGTTAGTGACAGTTGATTGATAGTCGAGAGGCGGACCGATAGAGCAAAGCTCAACCCCCGCAAGCACAACTAGGTGAATACAACTAGGTAAATACACACAACTTTTTTTTTTAATATCTTATGCAGTTCCCCAATACTTCATATGAAGGAATGCACAGCGAAAGGGTTAAGGATTACACAGGAAAAAGAACCCTAAGTGCATGCAGCTTCAAAGACATTAAACTCCTGCCTCACGCTGCACATATATGCTCAAGAACAACCACACAGGCAAACACCACCTAACTAATGACAGGAGACTTGAGCCAGAGTGAGCTGAGAGACTGATCAGCATTGTCTACATTAGCATAAGAACTGACGGTGGAGCATTTGGCTGCTGCTCCGGGATGCTCCGGGGAAAGGTGGGGCCAACTAGGTCACACACGTTTCACTAATTATCGATCATTTGTTACATTGTTGAGGGAGTTCTTTTGGTGGTTTTGAGGCTGTGGTCTCATTTCTAACCAAGCAGTAGTGTTTTGTTTCTCATTTTCTGGGTGAAAATTCATGTTTGCCATTACCCATTACGGAAGGGAGCCGGTCGGCCGAGCGGACAGCACGCGGGACTTGGGATCCTGTGGTCCTGGGTTCGATCCCAGGCGCCGGCAAGAAACAATGGGCAGAGTTTCTTTCACCCTATGCCCCTGTTACCTAGCAGTAAAATAGGTACCTGGGTGAAGTCAGCTGTCACGGGCTGCTTCCTGGGGGTGGAGGCCTGGTCGAGGACCGGGCCGCGGGGACACTAAAGCCCCGAAATCATCTCAAGATAACCTCAAGATCTCAAGATAACCCTTGGTGGTGGCAAACATAAATAACCTTCATAAAATGTTTTCATAGTGCCACTGTTCTCTGCACCTTTCTGAGAGGTGCCAGGTTCTGGCTCGTGGTCCCCAGTATGCCAATATAAACTTTGCAACCGATTTAAATTGCAACAACTTCAGAATTTTATACAATGATGGTGACAGCATTTATCTTGTAACAAGTATGACAATAGCCACTTTCACATAGTAAAAACCATGAAACGATAGCAGGATTTTATTCATCGGTCAAGGTAAACTTCAATACACCATGTAACGCTATGATGTTCTGATTTGCATCACACATGTAAAATCCAAACAATAACACGGTGGTACCTTCATTTACGATTGTAATCCGTTCCTAGACGCGTGTCGTCACCCAAAACGAATTTTCCCATAAGAAATTATGTAAATTGAATTAATCCGTTCCACACCCCAAAAAATATTAACTTGAAAATACATTTAATGAAAAACACTCATTTTGCACTTGCTACAATAAAGTACTGTATGTATATCTTACCTTGAATGAGGACTCTTGTTGGCGTATAGAAGACGGTGAGAAGGAGAGTTTTTGTGTTTGGAAAGGGTCTCCCCCTTCCATTATAATATCAGACAGTGATGACCTTTCTGGAGTACTCTCTTCTCTGAGAGTAGGAGGCATACCACTAGGGCCTGGTTGTGGCTCACTGCTTGCTTGTCTTACTAAGAATCTGTCTAAAGACAATCTAACGCACTTCGTAGCAATCTAGTTCACACTGCTCCTCCTGCTTCTAATGCTGCTGGTGTCTACTCTATTTCATGTTCGTCTTGTCCTCTCCAATACTTTGGCGAAACTGGCCGTACACTTAATGACAGACTTAAAGCATGTAAGTAATTATCAAAAGAAGGCACCAAACCGGGAAGGTTATGTAGCACCATCAAATGTGCGGAATAATCAGAGGGCGCTAAATATCACCAAGGATGCCAATACGAGAACAGAAACGCATAAGGTGACAGACTTAAAGAACACAAATGAAGTGCTAAGTCTGCTGACACAAACAATGCTCTCCTCTGTCATGTTAGGGATTCTAATCATCCTATTGATTGGTCTTCCTCCAAAATTATCTTTCCTGTCTCTACTCTACACAGACGCTGTCTCGTTGAATCGGATCTAATACACAACATAATCAACATGAACTTGAGGCTTTGTTGCTGTTGACTGTTCCCTTTCACAGTATATACTTCAATGCTCTAAACTTTCTAACAAACGTGACCTAACATAAGCTTACACTTCCATTTCTCTTTCTTTTTCTTTCCATTGTTTTCTCTTACGATCTCTTGCTTATTCCAACTATTTCCCCCCTTCTTATTGGGTGGTATAAATAGGAGCTGCCTCGTATGGGGCCAATGGGCCTTCTGCAATTATCTTTGTTCTTGTTTTCTCATTCTTACTATCCTCTTTATTACACCTTACCTTCCCTACCTTTGCCTTGCCTTCTCTTCCTCTAAGATTTTCTTCTCCTCACCTTCTGCCTATTTATTGCCTTCTCCTCCTTCAATCAACATATATAAACATGTAAGGATGACCATAGAGCAAAAACAAGAGATTATTTGTAAATATGAAGATGGTGTGTGGGTTGTTGAACTAGCTAGGCAGTACAACAAATCTCAGTCAACGATATCCACCATACTTGCTAAGAAAAAGAACATTTTGAGTGTCAAAGTGGCAAAAGGCGTATCAATAATCACGAAACATAGAACACAAACACTTGATGTTGAACAGTTGTTATTAATTTGGATACACAACAAGGAGTTAGCAGATGATCGCGTTTCAGAGGCGATCATTTGTGAAAAGGCAAGAAAATTGCATGAAGATCTTAGAAAGAAAATTCCTGGAACGAGTAATGCAGAAGCGAAAGAGTTTAAGGTGAACAGGGAATGGTTTGAGAAATTTAGAAAAAGAAGTGGCATTCATAGTGTTGTGAGGCATGGGGAGGGTGCCAGCTCAGACAAACCAGCAGTTGAAAGATTTATTGGGGAATTTAAAAATTTTGTGCAGAGTGAGGCACGACAAACGTTTGTTGTGACGAGACAGGGCTATTCTGGAAAAGATTGCCGAAGAAGACATACATTACCAGGGAGAAGAAGTCACTGCCCATACACATGCCTATGAAAGATAGGTTTACTCGTGCTGTGTGGTAATGTGAGTGGCAATTTGAAAATTAAACCCTTGCTTGTGTATCATTCCGAAAATCCAAGGGTTTTCAAAAAATATATTGTGCAGAAAAACAAAATTGTGATGTGGAGGGCTAATGCTAAGGCATGGGTGACTAGGCAATTTTTTACTGAGTGGGTGAATGAGGTGGTGTGCCCTGCCATCAAAATATATCTGCAGGAGAACAGTTTGCCACTCAAGGCCCTACTTCTCCTCGACAATGCTCCTGCTCATCCTCCAGGCTTGTAGGATTCATTGATGGAGGAATGTAGTTTTGTTACAGTAGTTCCTTCCTCCCAACACCACTCCCCTACTTTAGCCTATGGACCAGAAAATCATTACAAATTTTAAGAAACTGTATGAAAGAGCACTTTTTCGGAGATGTGTCGAAGTGACGGATCCCACAAATCTCACCCTCAAAGAGTTCTGGAAAACCATTTTAACCTTTGTAGTGCCTTAAAACTCGTAGACAAAGTCTGGCAAGAAGTGACTAAGAATCGTGATCTCTGGCTGGATAAAATTGTGGCCTGAATGTGTTGCAGAACAAGACTTTGTGGGGGTTTGAGCCTGAACCTGAAGTGCCTCTTGTTGAGGAAATTGTTTCTCTGGGCCGGCAATTGAGCTTGGAGTTGGATGGTGCCGATATTGAGGAGTTGAAGGAACACAGCGAAGAACTGACCACTGAAGAACTCCAAGCCCTTCAAAAGGAGCAGCAACAAGAGGCAGCTGAGGAAATTTCTTCAGGGGGAGGAGGCAGTACAGAATGTCCCTTCCTCAAAAATTAAGAAAATGTGTGCAGCATGTGAAGAACTGCAAACTTTTGCTGAAATAACTCGCCCAAATCAAGCTGCAGTAGGTTGTTGCCTTAACCTTTTCAATGACACTGTGATGCATCACTACAGACAAATATTAAAACGAAGGGAAATACAAGTGTCGCTAGACAAATTTTTAGTGAGAAACAAGCAGTGAACCACAACCAGGTCCTAGTGGTATGCAGGCAAAACGTAGGATAGTGTACCTCATAGAAATTATCACTGCCTGATACTATAATGGAAGGGGACTCCCCTTCCAAACAGTAACACCTCTCCTCCTCCCCCCTCATCACCATTTTCCATTCGCCATCAAGAGTCCTCCATAAAGGTAAGATAAACATATGTACTGTATTGTAGTTAGAGACAAAAATTGTATTCAGTATAAAATGTATTTTTAAGTTAATATTTTTGGGAGTGTGGAACGGATTAATTCAATTCCCTTTACTGTATTTCTTATGGGAAAAATCGTTTCGACTTACGATATGTCTCTGGGAACGGATTACCATCGTAAATCGAGGCCCCACTGTATACATATATATTTTTGAATAATGAGCCTTCTAAAGTTTTCAACATTTTGCAAGTCAGTTTCATCAAATAAATTAAAATATCCAGTCTGAAACTTGGACTCTTTGTAATTAAAATTCACATTTATTTTTATAGTGGAGGTATAGGGAAACATCTTAAGTTTCTTGATAACTTTACCACCATTTTATAAACACAGTATTGTACTGTAATGTACAAAGTGTACATTTTTTATTTTGTTTTTTGGGGAACATTTTTCTAACTACTGAACTCAAACATTGCACCCTTAAAAAAGGATATAATAATGTTTTTACAATTCCCCACAAAGGAATCATTAACATTATGAGTTTATATCACAATTAAAACTGTAGCACCTTTTGTTAATTGTTCAACAATGTAAAGAAAATGTATTATGAAATAGCACAATTTATTTAAAAAATAAATGTCGGGAATACCCAGTTCATTGGTAATCATATAATTCAACAGTCTTGAATAGATATTAGAGATTCTAAGCTTTAACACCTGGGGTTACCTGGCATTTAATTTTTCAGATTTTCATTAGTTCTTCATTTATAAGAGCGATTTGTAACATAAAAAGCTCTTTTAAACAAAAACACATTTACAATTGCCAGAAATCACACAAAATTAATTATATCGGTGGTTTACAATCACTTCCCTCATAATATAGTTTGCAATTATTTCCCCATTATGTCAACTTTACAATTATTTCCCCCCATTATATTACTAAGTGGTTCAACATGAAGTCTTACACCATCTCCAACAACACGCATCTCTCTCAGTTTCAGTGAAACTTAAGATTTAACCAATGAATAACTAAAGAGACAAAGGGGGAAAAATTGCCAAGATGCTCTTTCTATATAAGCAAGCATTCATGCACACACATACACACACACACACAACCAAAGAGCCAGAGCTCAACCCCTGCAAGCACAACTAGGTGAGCACACATAGGACAATGTTCATCATATATCACAATTATCACCTTTGCTCTCATGAATTGATTAACTATCACTCTTATCACAATGATTGTAATATTCATTATCACATGCATCCGTGAATAAGTTACATGCTAAACAACCTCTTTATAGGCCTGAATTCTTTTTTTTTAATTATAATTAACCAATACATATGTAGATGCACTGTACATTTGAGTACATGCACACAGTTCCTAGATGTTAAAGAAAAAAGCTGCCAATTAGCATTCTCAGATATTTTAGGTTATTTTCTAGCAATCAAATTTTCTCGACAATAGATTTTAAGTCTCTCGCAATAACTTAAAAAATCTCATTATTAATAACTTCAAAAAAGCATTATTATTATTATTACACATTATTGGTGATGATAGTTCATTCAGTCATAAACATGTATAACTTATCAACTCGTTCAATATTTCCTTCTTGCATAACTTTTGCAACTGTATTCCTTAAGTTATTCTGAACCAATTCATAAAAACATGATTTTATAATGTTCATTCTCTGGTACTTATATATTGCTCATATTTAACAGTGGAGGTTTGCTTGGAAAATCACAGTAAAACTGTTACTCAACTTTTACTATATGAAGAAACTATTAAACAAATACAAGATGTAATTGCAAAATGGTTAGTTTGGGCTGACAGACATGTGGTCCTGAGTGTCCACCAAAGGGAAGTGAAGTTTCTAATTTGATTTAAGCTAGTTTTCATAGTACAATTACATCCTTGCCAGTGTGTCATGAATCACCAAACTGGTTAAGACGAATCTAGCCAAATGGGGAGATTTATACTGTCTCACTTTACTGGTGATAGCCTTAATGAATGGAGTTAACTGTTAATACAGTACCTCAAGGCAGATCCTGCAGTACTACCAGTACACGGCATTACAAATATTGCCCCAATTGGTGACCTAATTACCCGGCTCCAAAAATATGTATATGTACTGTATAAATATTCCTGCATGTAAATGAAATTGAAAGGATTTTTTTGCCATTAGATTAGACTACATAATTAGTAGTCATATACTTATGGTGATGCAGTGCAATCTTCTTAAAGGACCATTTATGTGCTTTAAAATAAACAATTTATTTTGCAAGCAATATTTTTTTGTATAAGCCAAAAAACTAGAAGCATAAAGGTACACCTTATTCATTGAATAAAAAATAATGTCAGTCATCTGCTAAATGCTGACTTTAGAATCTTACAACTTGGAATAAAGGCACGGGTACATTTCATACAGCTAACTTATCAAGTTAATTAAGAAACAAAATTACTAGAATGTTCATTTGCTATTAGAAATTTAAGTTAGACCCTAATTTAATGCTTACCCATTAAAAGATCTGAAAAACTTAAAGAATGATGAGAGTTTCCAGATGCAATTGCTCACTTGTTTTTACTCATCAAATTTTTGGTCCCATGCAAATGACTCATTCATATCCTAGTACAGTTTTGAACAAATTCTCATGTAAAAATATTATATATTGAAAAAATATGCTTATTGATACAAAATGATACTTTCTTTTACCATAAATTTATTTAATTGTACCATATTTTCCATATGAAAGTAAAAAATAAAAAAATATAAACTATTCTTCTTTAAAGCAGTTTGGCCCTCTATTCTAAACCATTATCTTATCAATTAAAGCTCCTCAATTAACACAAATACTAAAAATGGTGCTAAATAATTTCTTCAGCTAGTAACATTATTAATGTAGAATACTGTGCAAGAAAATAGAATTATTTAGAGTTGCAAGCATGTGCCATGCTGTCCAAGGCTCTGGTACACAGAATAGAATAAGGACTGTAATAACTAAAATAATCTCAACAGAACTTAAGTGTACAAAAATTATGCTAATGTAGTCTGTATGATACAAAATTTTTTTTTATCTCAATAATCACAGCAGTCACTCCCCTGCCCCCTCTGCCTCATCTCAGAAGCCCGGTTTATCTATAATAGCTACACCAGCGTATGATCTGCCAATGCCCATGTGTGCCGGTAGCAGTGTCCACACATCTGTTTTGGGGTTGTAGACCTCCACTGATGCCAAATTCGACGTGCCATCATCACCTCCGACAACATAAAGTAACCCAGTCAGCGCAATAACTCCTGAAATTTTAAGACTATTCATTAATATATTATGGAAATTTTATATGAAACAGGTCAAGGATACCCCATTATTACAGACTTTTATTTGATTAGTATTTCTAACACAGTCAACATTGTTTGTTTTAAGCTTTTATTCAGCCCATCCTCCTGTTTTGGTAGTATCTGTACTTATACAGTAGTAATGATGAGAACCACAAAAAAAAAAAAAAAAAAAAAAAAAAAAAAAAAAAGTATATATATATATATATATGTCGTACCTAGTAGCCAGAACTCACTTCTCAGCCTACTATTCAAGGCCCGATTTGCCTAATAAGCCAAGTTTTCCTGAATTAATATATTTACTATAATTTTTTTCTTATGAAATGATAAAGCAACCCTTTTCTCTATGTATGAGGTCAATTTTTTTTTATTGGAGTTAAAATTAACGTAGATATATGACCGAACCTAACCAACCCTACCTAACCTAACCTAACCTATATTTATAGGTAAGGTTAGGTTAGGTAGCCAAAAAGCTAAGCTAGGTTAGGTTAGGTTAGGTAGGTTAGGTAGACGAAAAAACATTAATTCATGAAAACTTGGCTTATTAGGCAAATCGGGCCTTGAATAGTAGGCTGAGAAGTGCGTTCTGGCTATTAGGTACGACATATATATATATATATATATATATAATATATATATATGCGAACAAGCCTGAATGGTCCCCAGGACTATATGCAACTGGGGTGTGAGTTTTCAGTTATATATATATATATATATATATATATATATATATATATATATATATATATATATATATATATATATATATATATATATATATATATATATGTCGTACCTAGTAGCCAGAACGCACTTCTCGGCCTACTATGCAAGGCCCGATTTGCCTAATAAGCCAAGTTTTCCTGAATTAATATGTTTTCTCTAATTTTTTTCTTATGAAATGATAAAGCTACCCATTTCATTATGTATGAGGTCAATTTTTTTTTATTGGAGTTAAAATTAACGTAGATATATGACCAAACCTAACCAACCCTACCTAACCTAACCTATCTTATCTTTATAGGTTAGGTTAGGTAGCCGAAAAAGTTAGGTTAGGTAAGGTAGTTGAAAAAACATTAATTCATGAAAACTTGGCTTATTAGGCAAATCGGGCCCTGCATAGTAGGGCCCGATATATATATATATATATATATATACAGTATATATATATACAGTATATATATATATATATATATATATATATATATATATATATATATACAGTATATATATATATATATATATATATATATATATATATATATATATATATATATATATATATATATATATATATATATATATATATAAATAATATACAAGTGCCCATATCATAAGAAGCACATCAACAAACTGGAAAAGGTGCAAAGACATGCTACTAAGTGGCTCCCAGAACTGAAGGGCAAGAGCTACGAAGAGAGGTTAGAGGCATTAAATATGCCAAAACTGGAAGACAGAAGAAAAAGAGGTGATATGATCACTACATACAAAATAGTAACAGGAATTGATAAAATCGATAGGGAAGATTTCCCGAGACCTGGAACTTTAAGAACAAGAGGTCATAGATATAAACTAGCTAAACACAGATGCCGAAGAAATATAAGAAAATTCACTTTCGCAAACAGAGTGGTAGACGGTTGGAACAAGTTAGGGGAGAAGGTGGTGGAGGCCAAGACCGTCAGTAGTTTCAAAGCATTATATGACAAAGAGTGCTGGGAAGACGGGACACCACGAGCGTAGCTCTCATCCTGTAACTACACTTAGGTAATTACACACAATCAGAAGACAACGCCACCACCCTCCCTCCCACAGCATTACTCCTCCCTCCATGGAGCACAGCGCTAAATATCACCACAATCCTGCTATTATCAGAACCCTGGTCAGTTTTATCACGGTCAGGGGTCTTCTGTAATAATATCATTGCTAAATAATAGCAAGAACATGTATATTATGGCATTTTTAGGCGATGCTGTGGTCACAAGCTGAACAACAGTGCTGTGAGCTCATGCTGCGTGCGTCAGGCTTGGTAGCTCACTCGATACTGAGGCCCCTCACACTCAGGAATTTGGCCCACGATTTTTTTTTTAAATTGCGTCTGTTTACAAGAGCCCTGATGAAGGTGTGGTGAACCCCATGTATCCGCGGGCCGTTTAAATCTTGCGCTGTACTCCAAAACATCATATGATGCCGAGCACAAGTTACTGCAAATCACTCAACGCATCATATGATGTCTTGCGCAACTAAAGGGTTAAGCAGGACACACTGGTAAACTGAGGTCTGCGACACACGCATGGGTTGACCTAGCGCATCAACAAACTCGTGAAGTGAGACGAACCTCAAACATCAAGTCAAATTTTACGAATAAATTGAGCTCGAAAACCAAAAAATTTGAAAAGAGGGGCATTTGAAAACCGAAGTTCCACTGTATATGAAAATAGTACATTTGAAAATTGTATGTATGTATATAGTAAACTATATGAACACACTCAGAGATCAACATAAGCAATCACCAATAAACATCACTATGCTAGGACTAAGGGAAAAACTATGAAAAACATCTTACCGGCATTCCTACGACAAAGGTTCATGTCTGCAACAGGACTCCAACCATTGGTATCAGGATTGTATACTTCTACACTCTTCCTGACAAGTGGCCCATCATGGCCCCCAACAGCATACAGAAGGCCATCCAGCACCCCAACACCTACACAAGTATAAATATAAGGTTGGATATAAATTATACAGCAACTTTATGTTTATATTATTATTTATATATTATTTATACATAATTTATATTTACCATATACTTTTACAGAAATTTATGTAAATATAAAATATGCAATAAATTTACATTTACATAATTTTATATATAATTATACAGCAAATATATATGCATATTTACAGTATGCATATCTATATCAATGCCATTTGAGTGTGGTAAATTGAATACTGTATCTCGCTTTGCTAATACAGTATGCACATTATTCACATTACAGTATACAATATAATATTTGAATTATGAGTTGAAATAATAATAAAGCTAGTAAAGCAGCACGAGTTTATGAATCCTTATAGTATCTTACCCAAACCCTTCAATAAAACAAGACTGACTATAATGTACAGTATGTAAAATAATTTAATGTAATTCATATAGAGTTACTAATACATAGTGCATTTCAGGAATAACTTGAAAATAATTAAAACATTTATGTTTAATAGGGGTAACACTTAATACTAAACGAGTAGTAAGCTAATATATTTGAATTGTTAAAGAAATATATCAAGAAATATATCATATGATTAAGATTTCTGTTGGGAGCCCCTATGGCTCCCATGGAACTATCAGGCTGATAAGTGTTATATTAGTCTGGGGCATCAAGCAATTGAAGTTCAGCTTACCAGGGACCACGAGCCAGAACCTGGCCCCCCAGAGGCAAAGGGAACAATGGCCTATAGAAACCCCTTATGTAATTGGGGGCATTCCATGTCTGCCATTGACCAGGGATGGCACCCAGAAAGGTAGGCATCCCAAAACAAACCCCTATTCTGGTTAAGAAATTGCTACTGAGAGCCAAACTAGTGGACAGAACTCCCCAAACAAAAATGAGCGAGACGTCACCATATCGCCGCACCACTGTCTGCGCAGCTCCCCCCCTCCCCGGGAGGGGAAAAGGGTGAAGCCCCAGACCCAGTTCTAAGGCTGATGTGCTAGGCGAAAGTCGTGTGCTCCTGACATTGGTGCTCAGCTCGGTGCCTGCATGGTGTGGTGGCTGTCTTCTTGGGGGTATGCGTGCCAGGAGTAATTCTTCATTACTCGAGCTGCATGCGCCTAGGGTTCCCTTCCCTAGGTGCCCTGTAAGTACTGCCCTTGGGGCTTGGGGCCTTCCTTCCTTAAGATCCTTGGGTTCTGCCTCTGCTGGGTCGTTTGCTGCTCGACTTTCGGCCGCCCTTTGTGTGCTGCGGTGATCCTTTGTTTACACTGGTAGGAGCACAGGGTACTGCGCAGCTAGTTTTCACCTCTCATGGCGGCCAGCTCTATTCCGCCTAGGTACGCTGTTCTCCTGCAGGGTTATTTTTCTGTTGGTTTTCCTGCCTGGTAGGGGGGGGTCTGTCTTTGTTGTTGCTCCCTGTGTGCATTGCATACACTTCTCTGTTCTGGTGGTACCCCCCTGATAGGTCCCCATGAGCGTACACATCCTGGGGGGTTCAGTTACTTAGAAGTTTGATTGGTAGACTTGGGTGCCGGTTAGCAATACCCTGCCCGGGCTTTCCCGAGCGTGAATTCCGTCTCAGGACCCCTGGGAATTCCCACGGGGGTGTGTGGGTCCGATGGATGTGACCACTGAGTTTCCCCTCGTTTTATGCGAGTTTGAGGGTTGCTGTCTCCTTGTCTCAGGGTGACTCATTGTTTTTGCCTTCATCATGCTGCCTGCTGGGTTGGTGATACTTTCGACCCGGAGTCCTGCGAGTTTTGTTGCTGATGACTCAGTTTACCCAGTCTACTGATGACGATATTCGGGTGCAGGCGGCGCAGGCATTGCATGCTAGGTTTAGGTTGTTGCAATGCGCTAGATTGGTTGCTGACCCAGATGCCCCGAGGCTGCCCCGTTTTGGTTATAGGGATTCGAACTTGGGTGTGTTGGTCGCTTCAACCTTGGTCGAGTCCGCACCCTCTCGTCCTTCCCCTGCTGTGGTTCGGTCTGGTCCCCTTCCCCCTGTTTCCGGCTCAAAAACGTCTGAGGGTTTCAAGGACGGGGCGGGGTTTAAATGGTGTCGAGACTCGGGCAGGGTTTAGATGGTGTTGAGACTCGGGCGGTCTCAGGGGATGCCCCTTTCGAGCGGGCGACGAAGGCATTCGAGTCTTTCCACCCTCCGAAGCCTCTGGGTCTGACCAGTGGGCCCCCATTTCTTCTAAGCTTCTACGGCTGCACCGGCCTCTTCTTTTGAGGCTGGGGGTTTGGGAGACGACTTGGCCCCGGGGCCCAATGTGGTGGAAGGGCTGACTTGGGGGGCCCTTGGGCCCTGTTGGACCCTGCCCGAGTTTTTCTACCCTCTGAGCGGGACTTACTGTTACAAGTAGTGGGGTTTTCTTCCCCCCCCCCCCTCTGCGTACGAATTGTATTTGCTGTTTGCCCCTCCCCGAGTTCGGTTGAAGAAATGGAGAAATGGTGACCTGGCTTGGCGAGAGTGTCAGTAATGTCTACTGAAGTGTCCGAGTTGGAGGAGTTGCAAGAAGCCTCTAGAGTGGAATGAGCTGGAACCAGAGTAGAGGAGAGGGGCTTCAGTAGCCTTTGCTAGAATGTTGCTAGGTGGAGCTGTCGTCTTCATGGCTGTTGAAGTTTTGATTTCGGGCAGATTTAGTAGAAATATGCCCGAAACGCTATGCAAGTTAGTGACTTAGCAAGAATGTAAGAACACCCATGTTATGTATTTTATTTTATACTAGTAGGTAAGTAAAGAGAAAATATGTACTGCATTTGAAAAGTATCTGGAGCCGGTCGCCCGAGTGGACAGCACACTGGACTTGTGATCCTGTGGTCCTGGGTTTGATCCCAGGTGCCGGCGAGAAACAATGGGCAGAGTTTCTTTCACCCTATGCCCCTGTTACCTAGCAGTAAAATAGGTACCTGGGTGTTAGTCAGCTGTCATGGGCTGCTTCCTGGGGGTGGAGGCCTGGTCGAGGACCGGGCCGCGGGGACACTAAAAAGCCCCGAAATCATCTTAAGATAACCTCAAGAAGATGTACTCTCACAAACTCAATGTACCTTCTTATAAATAAATATACGTATAAATAAATAAATAGTCAATTTCTAGATTTTTTACACCTTTCTTAAATACAAGGTTAATACTTCAAATACCTTCAATTATATTATAAAAAAAATCTTGAGGGTTTCATACCCAAAACAAAATTCAAACTTTGTAGTTTGAACAATGGTCTATGAGAAAGAGGCAGACTTGGATCACATTCCTCTTTTCCTCTATTCCCAACAGTGAAATGGGACACTTCGATTGGTATAATATTCTAAATACCATATGATCTATGAAATCCATGTTGGTAGCGACATTAGAGAAACCGCACTTTCAAATTTATAACAGCATCAAACCTACAAACTCAAATAATTCTTCAGTAAATTATTGGAAACAGAAGAGATATGGGTTTTGAACTCAAGCATATTTAAACTATTGCAAAAGCTCTAAAAGTAGTAGCATGGTTACCAGCGAACATATGAAGGTACTTGCCTGCTCCACTTCTGCGTGCTGACATTTCTGCTACAGAAGTCCACACGTCAGACTCTGGACTGTAACATTCTACTGATGCCAAGCACTGCCTTGATGCTCCATCATATCCACCAACCTAAAATAATATGAAATTCTAATGCTGCTTCCATCACAGGGGATTTTGTCATTTCCAGACTTTGCTACAATATGAAACAGCAATTATCGTAAGAAAGCATTAAGTATGAAATACAGAAGAGTTTTTTCCCCAGAATGTATCAGTTCTTCACTTTAATTTATTAACTTTGAAGACATTAGACTTATCACTGCATAAATAATCCCAAATTTGTTTGTGTTTTTGTGTGTGTGTGTGTGTGTGTTTGAGAGACAGACAGACAGAGACAGACAGACAGAGACAGACAGACAGACACAGACAGAGACAGACAGACAGGTAGGTTGTTATTTACTTGTAAATTTCTGTGTCATTTGACTTAGGTGTTTCTATGCTCCATTGGGGATTTTCTCTGGTCTTTACCAGCAGGCTAATATCAATCAAACTTCCCTAGTCAAACAAATGTAATTAACTATAGAACCAGAGTACATGTACTAGCCTCTGGTAGGTACCATCCCCTGTAAGGGCCTGACAGCCGAGTGGACAGCGCTTTGGATTCGTAGTCCTAAGGTTCCGGGTTCTATCCCAAATGGAGGCGGAAACAAATGGAGTTACTTTCACCCTGATGCCCCTATTACCTAGCATTAAATAGGTGCCTGGGAGTTAGACAACTGCTATGGGCTGCTTCCTGGGGAGTGCGTAACAAAAAGGAGGCCTGGTCGAGGACAGGGCCACGGGGATGCTAAGTCCCGAAATCATCTCGATACAACCTGAAGATAATATAGCCTAGGGACACGGCCAAACACATGACAGAATATTAAGGGTCAGGCCGTGACAGAGTAAAACCACCAACAAAAGCTGTGATATCTACATCAACATAAAAACTGATGGTGGAGCTGCCGGCTGACCCGGCCTGCCTGCCTCCCTTCCCCCAAATGAGGTGGAGGTGTGGGGCAAAGCAACTGCTTGTTTCACAAATTTTCTATCATATGTTTACATTGTCGGGAAGTTATTTTGGTGGGTTTGAGTGTGCAGTTTTGTTTCTAACCAGGCAGTAGTCTGTTTTGTTTCTCTGACTTTCTGTGTGTGCCTTCCCTTGGTGGTGGCTGATGAGAATAACTTCACATAAAAGGTTTTCATAGTGCCACTGACACTATGGCACAAGCCATAGTGCCTGTACCTCTCTGAGTGAGGGCCAGGTTCTGGCTCGCAGGCCAATAAGAACGCCACAACTAATGGCACCTAGTATACCGCACTCCATCAGTGTAGTAGCTTCAGGGGGCCACAAGAGGCTCCCCAGAAAACACAAGCAAATGACCCCTGCAGGACAGACTCCAAAGGATGGCCAACATTTATGTGGAAAAACCAGGGGCTAGATTCATGAAGCAGTTACGCAAGTACTTACGAACGTGTACATCCTTCCTCAATCTTTGACGCCTTTGGTTACATTTATTAAAAAGTTTACAAACACGAAAACTTCCCAATCAACTGTTGTTATTGTTATAAACAGCCTCCTGGTACTTCAGAGCTCATTAACTGTTTAATAATTGTAAACAAAGCCGCCAAAGTTTGAGGAAAGAAGCACAGGTTCGTAAGTGCTTGTGGAACAGTCTCGTGAATCTGGGCCCAGGCAAATAACTGAGGGGCATCACCAGCTGTAGCTCCCCAGTGCTACCACCTGGTGGTGGTCAAGTGGTGCTAGTAGACAAATGACTTTAGTATTTGGTGTCTTTTCCAAATTGTTTGCCTTGTTGTCATTTGTTTTGTTTCACTACGTTTCTGGTGGCTTATTTTTCAGTTAGGGTAATCATGAATTTGTTGCTCTTTATGCCTCTGTGATGGGGCTAAGTTTTTGCCACTACTCCCTGGTAGGATTTTAATGACTCACAAGGGCCTGGTGTGACTCAAGATGGGTGGAGCTAGTCAGGAGACTAACAACAAGGAGTTAGAGTGGAGCTTTCCCCAAAAAGTTGCTTAACTGCATGAGGCCTAGTACCTATCCTACATTGAACACTCAAGGAGACCTACATCTCTGGCATACACCTAAGGTGGAGATATATACATGTAACAGATATATGTACAACATACATGGAGATATATGCATATAAATGAATTCTACTAACTTCATCATATGCTGTCTCAGAGTCTATAATATATACACAATTTACATAAAACAATATTTCTCACATACCTTCTTCACAAGCTACCTCAATGCAAATAGCTGATCCACACACTCACACTCACATCCAACACATAATGAACCTAGTTCATCAATGACCACTTTATCAGTTATTTCATGTGCTCTTTCAGTTACTATGCTACCATACACTTTTCTCTTAAAAGACTGATGATTCTAGAATGTCTACTCGCCATCTCTCCCATTTTTTACAACTATAATATTTTGTTGGTTTTTCCACATATCTCCTTCACTGTTGCACCTAACTCATTCATTTATGAACATATGCTGGTCCTCTGTCTTTTAAACTTCTCACATCAGTAAAACCACCACCACCATCATTTGCACCCATCAGACCCTCATATTCTACAAATCCACTAATTTTTTCCATCAATTAACATTCTCTCATATTAATCTTCAATGTTACCACTAGTTTTTCCATCAGCCTCCTTACAGCACTTGCATTCTTTCAAAAAGATCTTTGTTTTCAAAATCTTCTTAACTTTTTTTTAAAACATGAGATGCAGTATTATACTGATATATTATACACTTACTGCATAGAGAAATCCGCTCACAACTCCAACTCCTACCGATGACCGTCTAGTTGACATTGGCGCAATCATTCGCCATTCATAAGCTTTGGAGTCATACATCTCTGCGCTGTTTAAACCAGTAGACCCATCGAAGCCGCCCACCTGAAATACGTATCCTAATTACATATTCCCAGTTGAGTAATCATTAAATTTCTTTCCATGACACTCTTATTTATGTCAAATCATACTCCTTATGAGTGTTTGATTAGTGTATAGTAGTTCTTTAAACTGTCTTATCCTAATTTTGTCTGTGTAGCTGCTCTATTGGTAAACTACACTTTATTTTTTCACTATACAGTATATCACCACATCAAATTATAACAGTATAATTAATGCGTAAGCTTGATTTAGACTGCTTATACACTTGTTTAGTCCAGTTAGTATTGTAATGATTTGTAAATGTTATTAAAAAAAAAGTTTCCAAATCAGAATCTGAATACTGTATTTAGAGATGCAATATATTGTATGTTGTACTAAAGTACAACATATGCTATCATTCTTATATATAATTAATTTGACCTTTAAAAGGGCACATTTTCATATAACAGCTAGTTTATCAACCTAATCAATACTCACAGCATATATACAACTATTGAGTGTTGCTACACCAAGTGTTGATCGTCGGGCTTCCATGCTGGCACAGGAAGACCAAGAGTCCCGAGTTGGGTCATACACATCTACTGTACGCACACGTAAAGATCCGTTGAACCCTCCAACAGCATATACTTTCCCATTGATCACAGCTATGCCACATCTGAGGGCAATATAAAAACATAAAAGAATGACAATAGTTTCATCAACAAATCTACCAGTTGAGTCCCCATTTTGTTATATAAAGATCAGCACCATAATTTTAGAGATTTCTTAACTGGATTAATCTTAAAAACAACTTATGTGTGCATATGTACAGGTATGGAATGAAAGGAAGAGAAGTACAGTATATACAATTTAAAAGGTTGTGAAGGTGGGGCTTTATGGAATCAATTAGTCAGGTATGAAAGCTTGACTTTTTAAATCATAACTCAGAGGAAGCATCTTACACGTGGTAATATGAAGTGATGGGGTGCAGCTGTGGATGCTTTGCCTGCATGTTATGGTATGGGGCTTGACGGCTGAGTGCACAGCACTCAGGATTTGTAATCCTAAGGATCCGGGTTCGATCCCCGGCGGAGGCGGAAACAAATGGGCATAGTCTTTTCACCCTGATCCCCTGTTCACCCAGCAGGAAATAGGTACCTGGTAGTAGACAGCTGCTATGGGCTGCTTCCTGGGGATGTGTAACAAAACGGGGGGGCTTGGTTGAGGACCGGGCCGCAGGGATGCTAAGCCCTAAAATCGCCTCAAGATAGGTTTCCTACTTGCCCTCTCATTTCTTCTAGTGTGATGGCATCCTACCACATGAAAGTAGGAAACAGGTGATTGTGAGGATGTGGAGGCAGGGAAGAGAACAGTCGCATGAAGAGACCATGAAGAGTACAACAGCTTTAAATGTTTGTGACAATAAGAGAGTTTGACCTTCAAGAAGATGATTATTGGTAATTATGTCATACATGAAAGATTTGCCTGAATTAATTAGTATTAGTGGCCTGAGGGCCACTAATACTAATACTAACATACCCAGTAAGGACACAAAGATCCATACATGAAGGAACACGGATCATCACGAAAGCATAATCCGGGTCGTGATGGAGGTAAGCCGCAAGGGCTTCCCACACCACATGGGATGGGACACGGATAGCTGAAAACCTCCGGAAGGGTGGAACCAATCCTGGGGGGAGGGGTAGATGCCAAATCCAGTTCGAACGAGGAGGGAACGAAAGAAAAGGGTTTTTGTACCCTGCTCTGAGAGTACAAAAAACCCATGCAGGGTCCAATGGGGCCCATCCCCCCCCCCCCCCCCTCCTCCCCAAGTCAACACCCTCCCCCGCCCTGGGAACCTCACCCCAAGGACCCGGGCCCGAGCCGTCCTCCAAACACCCCGGCCTCTAAAGAAAAGGCAGCAACGAAAAGGGCCCACTGGTCAGACCCAGATGCTCCAGCTGGAGGGCCAGGCTCTAATGCCTCCGCCACAAACCTGGAAGAGGGACTCCCAAGACCACCCGAGTCTTAACACCAACTATACCCTGCCCCGACTTGGAAACCCTCAGACATTTTGGAGCCAGAAGCAAGGTGGAGAGAAACTGGACGCACAATAGAAGAGGAAGAACATGGAGGGGGTGGACAAACCAAAGTCGAAACGACTCCCACCCAAAAGTTCGGGTCCCTATAAGTAAAATGGGGCAATCTCGGGACATCCGGGGAAGCAACCAACCTATCGCATTGCAGCAACCTGAACCTAGCATGCAACTCGGCTACTGCCTGCACCCTCATATCACGATCAGTAGCTTGGGTGAACTGGAGCACATGCAAACAATAAGCGTCGCACGACTACAAGCAGCATGGCAGAGGCACAACTGGTGATTGCCACCCCTGAAACAAGGGGACTGAGCAACCATCAACCTCGCACGAAGCAAGAGGGGACTCGAGGGTCTCATCCATCGGACCACAATGCCCCCGTGAGGTTCTCCACAGCCCTTAGCCTTGGTAACACGCCAAGGGTAAACCCAGGCAGGGTACCTGGTTGATACCTGGTTGATACCTGGTTGATGGGGTTCTGGGAGTTCTTCTACTCCCCAAGCCCGGCCCGAGGCCAGGCTCGACTTGTGAGAGTTTGGTCCACCAGGCTGTTGCTTGGAGCGGCCCGCAGGGCCACGTACCCACCACAGCCCGGCTGATCCGGAACTTCTCTTAGAAAACCGTCCAGTTTTCTCTTGAAGATGTCCACGGTTGTTCCGGCAATATTTCTTATGCTCGCTGGGAGGACGTTGAACAACCGCGGACCCCTGATGTTTATACAGTGCTCTCTGATTGTGCCTATGACACCTCTGCTCTTCACAGGTTCAATCTTGCATTTTCTTCCATATCGTTCACTCCAGTACGTTGTTATTTTACTGTGTAGATTTGGGACCTGACCCTCCAGTATTTTCCAGGTGTATATTATTTGGTATCTCTCTCGTCTCCTTTCTAGAGAGTACATTTGGAGAGCTTTGAGACGATCCCAATAATTTAGGTGTTTTATCTCGTCTATGCGTGCCGTATATGTTCTCTGTATTCCCTCTATTTCAGCAATCTCTCCTGCTCTGAAGGGGGAAGTGAGTACTGAGCAGTACTCGAGACGGGACAGCACAAGTGACTTGAAGAGTACAACCATTGTGATGGGATCCCTGGATTTGAAAGTTCTCGTAATCCATCCGATCATTTTTCTGGCTGACGCGATATTTGCTTGGTTATGCTCCCTAAACGTTAGATCGTCGGACATCATTATTCCCAAATCCTTGACATGCTGTTTTCCTACTATGGGAAGATTCGATTGTGTTTTGTACCCTGTATTATGTTTCAGATCCTCATTTTTGCCGTACCTGAGTACCTGAAATTTATCACTGTTAAACATCATGTTATTTTCTGCTGCCCAATCAAAAACTTTGTTGACATCTGCTTGTAGTTTTTCAATGTCTTCAGCAGAGGTAATTTTCATGCTGATTTTTGTGTCATCTGCAAAGGACGACACGAAGCTGTGGCGTGTATTTTTGTCTATATCAGATATGAGAATAAGGAACAGTAGCGGTGCAAGGACTGTACCTTGAGGTACAGAGCTTTTAACATCGCTTGGACTCGATTTTATCTGATTGACTGTTACTCTTTGTGTTCTGTTCGACAGGAAATTGAGTATCCAGCGTCCTACTTTTCCAGTTATTCCCATTGACCTCATTTTGTGAGCTATCACCCCATGGTCACATTTGTCGAACGCCTTTGCAAAGTCTGTGTATACAACATCTGCATTTTGCTTTTCTTCTAGGGCTTCTGTGATTTTGTCATAGTGGTTGAGTAACTGTGACAGACAGGATCTTCCCGCTCTAAATCCATGTTGTCCTGGATTGTGCAATTCATTGTCTTCCATAAAACTAGAAATTTGATTCCTAATCACTCTTTCAAACACTTTTATTATGTGTGATGTTATGAGGGTACTGCGAACCGGTGCCCAAGAATACCAAGCAAACTTCTAAAAGCTGAACCACCGGGACGTGTCCACTCACGGGAGCCTAGAAGGGGTATCACCAAGAACACAGGTTATATATGAAGACCCTAATTATTGATAGGGGGTAACCAACCAAAGGCAGATCCCCCCCACCAGGCAGGAAAACAAAAACAAAAGAACAACCCTGCAAGAGGACAACATACCCAGGCAGATCAGAGCTGGCTGCTATAATAGGTGATAACTAGCTGTGTAATACCCTGCGCCCCTACCAGTAACAAAAACTTCCTCCTACCCAGAGGCAAACGAGGGTAACAAAACCCCCAGCCGACTCCAAGGACGGCTAAGTACGGAGCAGTAAAAGACACAGCAGAGGTAGATCTCAAGGCGACTTGTGGAAAGTGGCTCCAAGCCCCAAGGGCAGTACTTACCTGGTACCTAGAGAAGGAAACCCTAGGCGCATGCAGCCCGAGTATAGTAGAATATTACTCCTGGCTGATACACCACCTGTAGAGACCAAGCCACAAGGTACAGAAACCGAGACCAAATCAGGAGCCAGAGGCACAAGACCTCACCAGCAGCACATCAGCCAAGAACTGATGTGCTACTGTTGGACGGCTGGATTGCCGGCGTGAGGGTCTGGGGCTCCCCCTTCCCCTTCCCGGGGAGGGAAGAGGGGGTTGCGCAGAGAGCGGCACGGCACGGCACGGCAACGTAATGATGTTATGTCAGTTTGCTAATTTTCATTTGGGGAGTTCTGTCCCCTAATTCAGTTTTCCATAGCAATATTTTTACCAGAATAGGGGTTTGTTTTGAGGCGCCTACCTTTCTGAGTGCCAGACCTGGTCGATGGCAGACATAGAATGCTCCAGGGGGTTTCTATTTGTTCCTCGTGCTTCTCTTGAGAGGGCCAGGTTCTGGCTCGTGGTCCCTGGTAGGCAAGAACTCCATGCACATTGACTGATGCCAGAAAGCAAATATATCCATATCAGCCTGGATAGCTCTGGGAAGCCAACGATGCTTGATGACAAGGTAGCCGGTCGGCCGAGTGGATAGCACACTGGACTTGTGATCCTGTGGTCCTGGGTTCGATCCCAGGCGCCGGCGAGAAACAATGGGCAGAGTTTCTTTCACCCTATGCCCCTGTTACCTAGCAGTAAAATAGGTACCTGGGTGTTAGTCAGCTGTCACGGGCTGCTTCCTGGGGGTGGAGGCCTGGTAGAGGACCAGGCCGGGGGGACACTAAAAGCCCCGAAATCATCTCAAGATAACCTCAAAATAAGATGCTTCCCCCAGAAATGCCCATTGGTTCTACATCCTTAGTTTAAAGTAACGTACCCATACTGTAAATAAATAAGGATGTTTTTTGTTAGTTCGTACTCTAGGGTACGGCTTACAAATTTCGTGACCTTACATGATGGCACATAGCAGTATGGTGCTGTATCAGTGTGATAGGAGGGAAGGAAACCCCTTGAGGCTTCCTTCAGGGAGCCTCAACGGGTTTCCCCCAGAAAAGAAGTTGTAGATACCCTTCTCTCTCGAGGTTCTATCTAGAGATGATTTCGGGGCTTTACGTCCCCGTGGCCCAGTCCTCGAGTTTCCCGAATTTGTACTCTAGAGTACGGCTTACAAGTTTTCGTGACCTCACATGATGGCACCTAGTAGTATTGCACTGAATCAGT